CCGTGAGAAACGGAAATGACCTGGAGCCTGGATCGCGTCGAGAAAATGTTTAAGTCTCGGAACTTCAAAACCACATACTGCGCAGGCCAGGAGCAGGGGTCGCATCCCAGCAAAAGAGCTTTTGCGGGGGGTCGCTTTGCCGAGGGTGCCAGATGCCACGGTGCTTTAGCCTCTTCTTTTTTTTCCCTTCCTCCTCATAAAAAGACCGTCTTATAAGTGTGGACACTGGACAGTGGGAGTGGGAGTTGAAGAAGTGAGACTTGGAGAGACATGAGGCGGCTCCCGATTTGTGGCTTCCCTCCCACCCCTGGTCCAACCATGCTTCCTCCTCCATCCAAGTGTGGCTACGGCCATCGAGCTGTGTGCCTGCGATCGAACCTCGCGCGAACCTCCCCTCCCTTCTCGACGCGACCCCACGCCCGATGGCTTTTGGGCATGTGGCGAGTGACCCACGCAATTGACCGCCACGCCACGGCTGCTCCTTGCAAGCTCAACGTGGCGCCGCCCTGTGGCTTTCTCCGTCTCATTCCCCAAAAACGCTTCCTCACGCTTTCTGCTTCTTCTTCTTCTTTCCATTGCGGCCTGATCATGAGGTGAGATGTTCACGCCATGTGTCGCTACCATCACTCGAATAAGCACAAGTTCCTGTAGCCTGGCGTGATGTGAGTCGAGACAGTCCGTGGTTGGTGGGCGCCCGAGGTTCCCACGGTTTTTCTTCTTGCCTCAACCGACCTACTGTGGAGAGCTTTGCTTTGAGGTACCTGCTATACTATTATAGTCTAAGTGGTATAGCTTCCAGCTCCATAACTGATGCCAATCTCAAGCTCTGCGACCCATCGATTTGTACGACGAATGCCGATCCTTTGTGTTTCGGAAGAGACATAGGCTTTTCGAGGTCCATGAAGAGAACCCGCTTACTTGTCATCGAGATTTGCCATGGGCGATTAGAAACACGCCTTGGCGAGCTGTTGGGCCTTTTTGCATCCCCCGCGCTTCACATGGGCAACTCCAAAGGTACAATAGTGCCCGACTAGTTCCGTACCAGGCACCATTTTCCCTTCCAACTCGGGATACGACATAAGAAGTGCTAGGTGTGTTTTGACTTTCTCAGCCGCACTTTGCTTTGATGTCTCAGAACCCAATGTCGCAGGGATACCGACGTTGAAGAGTTGTGTCGTGGTTTCTCACTTTTCCATGAGTCTGGAAACTAATGCCTAGGTCCCTCTGTTAACCCCGATTGCAACTTCCAGGGTAGCTAGTTCTGGTGGTCTGGGTTGCTTCTTTGCCTTTATAAGTCGGGTTGCATTACAAGCCGATAAATGCTCTTAGCGGAAGTCTAATCGACTTACGCATGTATGGTATTGATTCAGCATGCTCAGCTCTCTGTTTCGTCAAGGCAGCAACGACTGAGTCTAGTAGACAGGCCATTTGGCAGAGCAACGGGTTGAGCGAGCCAACTGTGGGCCTCGGTCTCTATCCCAATTCCTCAAATGACTACGCTCAACAGTATGGGTTGCAGCCTCGAGCCAACATCCAAATACGGCCTGCTCCCTACTCCCTAGGTACTTCCCACGCCTTACGATTTCTTATTGGTCTATGATCCAGCCAGACCTTTGAAACGGTATTGGCCTGACTGAACTTGAAGAGAACGAATATGTTGAGCACCTCGGCAGACCTTCCCCGCGGGTTGATTCGTCTAGTCATGTCCCGGGATGCAGCGTCCATGTGACAGGACTGGCTTGCGATGAAGGGAATTGGTGAAGGGGGTTTCTTGATCCAATAGAAAGGGGAATGAGCCCAGTGGTGTTTGTTCGGTATCGTATCGTAAAGCGAAACTCACTCTTCGAGGGCGAAATCTGTACGATAGCTAGAGAGGCATTCGACAGATACTGGCTCATTAGTATGTTACAATGCAACTATCACAGCTCTTCCACCAGGTAACTATCACCGAGATACCAACAGCGCTCAGCTGAGTTGTACCAATGACTCGATGCTACCTTTTGAGATACACATCTATCTGCGGATGGGAAGACAAGCTACTAAGATAGAGTGAGGGGACGACTGTGTACGAGACGCAGATAACAGACCGCGCGGCTATCTGTCCGTTGAACGAGCCGCAGAGGAAACTCACCCGACCGCCTCAACCAACATTCATACTTTCAGAAGTGCGAGACCGCCGGTCGGCGGGTGCCATACCGAGCGCTCGGATCCTGGACCGAGACGATTCCGCCCAATTCACCAATCAAACACCAGAGAGCTCGGCCAGCTTCGGACCCGCCTCATCTTATCGCATCCGAATACCTTATCGGTACAAGGGAAAGCTCTCCGTCATACCTTGGGGCCTCCTCCCCTCCTCCTCCTCTTGAAACCTTGATCTTTCTGTTCATTTCTCAATCTTTTCACCAATATACCAGCTCAATTGGACTTTTGAAAATGACACGATCAAGATTGGTAGCGGCCGCCCGGACGGCAAGGCCCTTCTTGGCCTCTCCCGCTCGCCAGGGCCGGTCCCTCGCATCCGTCGCCGGACTGAGCTCCACGGCCCCGGCCCCGAGAACGGCGGGAGCATCACAATTACGCAACAACCACCGCTTGTACAGCTCGGCATCCCGCGCCAACTGGAAAGAGAAGCTCGCCGCCTTCTCCAAGCAGGACAAGACCCCCCTCTACGAATTCCACGTCGCCCACGGCGGCAAAATGGTCATCTTCGGCGGCCACCACATGCCCGTCCAGTACGCCGGCCAGTCCCTCGCCGAGTCCCACCACTTCACCCGCACCCACGCCTCCCTCTTTGACGTCTCCCACATGGTCCAGCACCGTTTTACCGGCCCCAAGGCCGCCGCCTTCCTCGAGACCGTCACCCCCTCCAGCGTCGCCGACATGGAGCTCAACACGAGCAAGCTCAGCACCTTCCTCCATCCGGGCACGGGCGGCATCGTCGACGACACAATGATCACCCGCCTCGGCGAGCACGAGTACGCCGTCGTCTCCAACGCCGGCACCCGCGAAAAGATCTTTGCCTACCTCACCGAGCACACCGCCGCGCTCCAGAACCCCGAGGGCACCGACTTCTGGTGGGAGGTCCTCGAGGGCTACGGCCTCGTCGCCCTCCAGGGCCCCCAGAGCGCCGAGATCCTCCAGGAGGTCCTCGACCCGGCCGACGGGCTGGACCTGAGCACCCTCTACTTTGGCAACACGGGCTTCGCCCGCCTCCGGTACCAGGACGGCCAGGGCCAGTGGCAATCGACGCCCGAAAAGGCCATGATCAGCCGCGGAGGCTACACGGGTGAGGACGGCTTCGAGATCTCCTTCAAGTCCACCAACGGCGAGGCCGGCCCCATCGCCGAGACGCTTCTGAAGGTCGCCGGCCCGGAGAGGCTGCAGCTCGCGGGTCTCGGCCCGCGCGACAGCCTGCGCCTCGAGGCCGGCATGTGCCTGTACGGCCACGACATTGACGACACGACGACCCCCGTCGAAGGCAGCCTGTCGTGGATCATCCCCAAGGAGCGCCGCACAAAGGGCGGCTTCCACGGCGCCGAGGTGATCAACAAGCAGCTCGTGCCCAAGAGCAAGGGAGGCGCGGGCATCGAGAGGCGCCGCGTGGGCTTCGTGATCTCGGGCGCGCCGGCCCGCGAGGGCGCCGAGATCTTTACAAAGGACGGGGAGAAGGTCGGCGTCATCACCAGCGGCTCGCCCAGCCCGACGTTGGGCAAGAACATCGCCATGGGCTACGTCAAGGAGGGTCTGCACAAGTCCGGCACCGAGCTGGACGTTGTGGTGAGAGGCAAGAAGAGGGGAGCCGTGGTGTCCAAGATGCCGTTGGTCCCTAGCAAATACTTCAAGGGACCGACTCCCGCGCCTGCGTAGGGTGGGATGTATCGATAGAAGTTTTACAAAAAGATATCCAGCACTTTTTAGCGTTCAACTTGGCTTTCATCTACCTTATTTGTGATGCTCTTTGCTTAAGGGCATGGCGAGATCAGAGCAACGGCAAGTTTTCAATGTTTTGGTTGGAAGCATGTAGCCACTTCTTCATGGGAGGCCATCACGGAAGCGCAAAGCGATGACGACCCTCAAACGAGCGGCTGAGTACTCTAGAAACTATGATCCTGGAATGCGGCAAATATGGAAGAGGTTGACAAGCAGCTTATGTTGACAGGATCGTGTTACGTTTGAATGTGAAGAGAAAAAAAGAAGAAAAGGCAAAGATTGAACGAGCGCAGAAATTCTTATTAGCATTTTGGCGGATGGGGCTAGAGCGCATGCGGATTAGCCCCGGATAACAGGGACGAAGTGGGGCCCTTTTTCATGGGATGAGAGTGGGGTGAAGGCATTCGAGCCAAGCTATGCTTCGACAACGATTTTCTTTTTAGCTACATCTGCCCCGACTGTTGCAAATTGAACCTCCAAGATAGGGTTCAAGGCGAGGAAAGGATCTGATGTCCACATTAGATGATTTATTGCCAAGTTAGCTAGACAGATGTGATCGTGCTTACTCGTCTGGTTGGTTTCTATAAGCCCCGGCCAACGGGGGCGACGAGCATCTAATGTCACATAGCAGTACGGTACGTACATGCTTTTACATTAGCCGAATTCAACTTGAAAGATCAGATAAACTTCCTTTAAACTGGCATGAAATTTGTTTTGTACTACTGTCCTTCTCGCTTCACACAACATTGCCGGAGAAACCGGTCATCAAGAGACCAAGAGTATTGAACCCATACGATATCACGGTATGCCTACACGCAAATGCTCCGGTAAAAGCCAGTGATGATGACACATACGAGAATCTTCATATTATATAGTTTACAATCATAAATAAACACTCATAGAGAGAACTGGCAATACAAAACAAAATCTACCCCGCCTTGTATATATGCCACTTTTTTTGCCTGCATTATGAACTCCCAAACTCCGACCAAGGTGCAAAAAGCAGCCTAACCGGGACAAAGTGTGCCATGTAGTATTACAAGCTTTCAAGAAACACACCCACAATGCTTTCATGGCCCAAGTCGTTGAGTCGTGCCAACAAGCGCAATCGGTGCGCTGCCGCCACCAGCATGGGTGTTGGTGGGCAAGACCCCGAATCGACCGTATGTCTTCTGGTCGACGCTCACGTAGTGCGGCAGCCGCCCAAGGAGGTTCAGCTTCGACTCGATCCATCGCAGGGCCTTTTCGGGTGGGCTGAGGAACTTCAGGTAGCCGAGGCCGACTAGAAAAGTAACGTTGAGTTAGTCATACATCCTTCTAGCAGGATAGGGGCAGGTCGCTTACAGAGATATCCAACCAGGACGCCGCAGAGGTGACCAAGCAAGCTGGTGCCAGGAACGAGCGCCGTAACCACCAGGATGAGGATCAGGGGGGTTGTCCACGTCGGAATTGAGTACGTCGCAATCGTCAGGTGGGGGTTCGTCTTGTACGTTCGAATCGCCTCGATGCCCAAGAGCAAAAAGACCCAGACGCTACATTGTGATTCTTCTCGTTAGTTTCCATCCCTCTTGCGCTCGCGGGCGTCACCTGTGTAGTTTCTTACCTAGCTCCCATAACTTCGGTGTTGCCCTTGAAGAGGAACCGTTCGATCAAGGTGTAGAGAATAGCCGGGATCGTGCTCAGAGCTGCAGAAAATTAGTCGCCCGCGCCTTATAGAGAAGACCAGGATATATCTTACGGCCGATGAAGAGGGCGATAGAGGTCAAGGTGCCGAATTCTGCCTCGAACCGCTCCATCAATGGCGCGAGAGCCGCCAGATTCATGACCGTATGGATGAGATTCACATGGACGAAAGGGAACGTATTCATTCGGTATGCTATCGCCACAATACAATGAGTACAAAGTGCGCCTGTAGAAAGCGGCCTAGCAGGCAAGGGAAGCTTACAAGAGGTAAAGGACAGCTGGTCAGGAATCAGGGCGCCCCAGTGCCTGACATCCCACGAATGTTGAAGACCTGCGAACCATGCTGCGATAATGACCAGGAGAACAATGCGCGTAAAGAGCGGTAAACGAAATACGTAAGAGCGAGCCCGAAGGGTGCTGAAGGACGTTATGTTGGAAGCCATCGCGCCCGCCGCCTCCGGGATTCACGGGATCCAGAGGGGTCGAGGGTCTAGGGTCGAGGGTCGAGTGGGAAAATTGGCGGTCGAGCAAACACCAATCGCCGCGTTCAAAGTCGAAAGTCGTTCTAGCGATGAGTCCAATCGGCAGCACAAGGCATGAGAATCGGCTTGAGTTGGCACCACGGAGATTGTGTGTTTTGCTGCAGCTGGGAAATTGTAGACAACCTGTCGCATGCTCCCGGTCCACTCGGACCTCTTCGGACGATCCAAAAAATGTTAGATAAGACCCCTGTTGTACGACGTATCCACCTCTTATCATCACGTGCCTGTAACAGCGTTACAGCGCGTTATGTAACTCGTCCTGGGTCTCTAAAGTGCTTTGAGTATCGATCATTGGTGAAGTATTAGAACATCACATGCGAATTCACAATGCTTGAACACCTTTGTACCCGCTCTCGCATTGTCACATTGCGTTGAAATTTTGTTTGAACGTTTCAAATTTGTACATACTAGGAAATCATGGCCTACATGACATAGAAAAAACAATAGTCCCAGAGGTATTTGCCCGACCAAAACAAAGGGCGTAACGCGGCCATACACTTTAGTTATACCGACCGACACCCCAGAACATGCTAAATAAACAGAGGTACGCCTACACCGCCCAACCACATATCGCCCTGACCCGTATCGCTAACGTAACATTGTCCGTTTATGACTTGCCAGCGGACTTGGCCATGGTGTTAAGAGCGGAACCGTTCTTGAACCACTCAATCTGGGGGGCGTTGAAGGTGTGGGAGAGCTTGACCTCGAAGGCCTTGCCATCCTTGGGGTGGACAACCATGGTCAGAGGCTTGCCGACCTCGAGCTCAGTGGCGAGGATGTCGACCTTGTCCTCGGGTCTGATCTTGTCGTAGTCGGCGGGGTCGGAGAAGGTAAGAGGAAGCATACCCTGCTTCTTCAGGTTGGTCTCGTGAATACGGGCGAAGGAGCGGGTGATGATGGCAAGACCACCAAGGTGACGGGGCTCAAGAGCGGCGTGCTCACGGGAAGAACCCTCGCCGTAGTTCCAGTCACCAATGACAACCCACTTAATACCCTTGGCCTTGTAGTCACGGGCGACGGCGGGGACGGCGTCCCATTCGCCGGTGGTGAAGTTCTGAATCTTGTTGGCCTCGCCGTTGGCCTCGTTGATGGCACCAATCAACATGTTGTTGGAGATGTTGTCCAAGTGGCCACGGTACTTCAACCAGGGACCGGCCATGGAGATGTGGTCAGTGGTGGTCTTGCCCTTGCACTTGATGAGGATGGGGATATCGTTGACATCCTTGCCATCCCAAGGCTGGAAGGAGGACAGGATCTGAAGACGGTCGGAGGAGGGAGAGACCTGGACGTTGACGGTGCTGCGGTCGGCGGGAGGAGCCTGGTAGGTGTTCTGGCCGGGGTCGTATCCGCGGCTGGGGAGAGAGTCTCCGGAAGGAGGCTTGAGCATGAACTCGTTGCCGTCCTTGTCCTTGAGCTTGTCGGTAAGGGGGTTGAAGTGGAGGCTGCCGGCGACAGTCATGGCAACGACCATGTCGGGAGAGGCGACGAAGGAGTGGGTGGCGGGGTTACCGTCGTTACGTCCGGTGAAGTTACGGTTGTAGGAAGAGATGATGGAGTTGGGGGTGCCCTTCTTGACATCCTGACGATCCCACTGACCAATGCAGGGACCGCAGGCGTTGGCAAGGACAATACCGCCGTACTCCTCGAAGGTCTGAAGCTGACCATCGCGCTCAATGGTGGCGCGAATCTGCTCGGAACCGGGGGTGATGGTGAAGATGGCCTTGGACTTGATACCGTGGTCGAGAGCGTCGCGAGCGATGGCAGCACCGCGGGTCATGTCCTCGTAGGAGGAGTTGGTGCAAGAACCGATCAGACCGACCTTGAGATCCTCGGGCCAGTTGTTGGCCTTGACAGCCTCGCTGAACTTGGAGATGGGGGTGGCCAGATCGGGGGTGAAGGGACCGTTGATGTGGGGCTCGAGCTCGGACAGGTTGATCTCGATGAGCTGGTCGTACTCGGCACCCTCATCCTCGCGAAGCTCCTTGGCGTAGGTCTTCGCGAAGTCACCAATGTCCTTACGCTTGGTGGCGGTGAGGTACTTGTGCATGGAGTCGTTGAAGGGGAAGAGGGAGGTGGTGGCACCGATCTCAGCACCCATGTTGCAGATAGTTCCCATACCAGTGGCAGAGAGGGTGTCGACACCAGGGCCGTGGTACTCAACAATGGCACCAGTACCACCCTTGACGGTCAAGATACCGGCAACCTTGAGAATGATATCCTTGGGAGTGACCCAGGGGTTCAGAGCACCAGTGAGCTTGACACCGATAACCTTGGGGGCCTTCAGCTCCCAGGGAAGGTTGGCCATGACATCGACGGCGTCGGCACCACCGACACCGATAGCGCACATACCAAGACCACCAGCGTTGGGAGTGTGAGAGTCAGTTCCGATAAGAAGACCACCGGGGAAAGCGTAGTTCTCGAGGACAATCTGGTGGATGATACCAGAGCCGGGCTTCCAGAAACCGATGTTGTACTTGGCGCAAGCAGAGGCAAGGAAGTCGTAGACCTCCTTGTTGATGCCGACGGCACGGGCAAGATCCTTAGAGCCACCAATCTGAGCCTCGATCAAGTGATCGCAGTGGACAGTAGTGGGGTTGGCGACGGAGGGCATGCCAGCAGACATGAACTGCAGAATAGCCATCTGAGCAGTGGCATCCTGGCAAGCAACGCGATCGGGGCGGAGCTTCAGGTATGAGACACCACGCTCGATCTCTTGTCCGTGAGGGTCGTCCAAGTGGGAGTAGAGAATCTTCTCAGCGTAGGCCAGGGGGCGGTTGAGACGCTGGCGAACGATGGACAGGTTCTCGGACATCTTCTTGTAGTTGATGAAGTTGCCCTCCTCGTGGATGTTCTGCTTGACCTGTTTTCGGCGAGTCAGCACCCTTGTCAAGTCGAGCAAACACGTACGCGATGCCAAAGAAGCACCCGGCCATGCTGTCCAAACAGAAGACACCGTAGACCACGGTTTTCTAGCGTTAGAGGGGGAAGTATCTTACCTTGCGGTCAAGGGGAGAGTCAGAAACGGTAGCCATGCCACGCAGTCCCAGACGGGCACTGGCGGCAGTACGGCTCCGGGCAACAGAGCCCAGAAGCTGTCGTGAAGCCAACATGATTGGTGTTGACACTGAGAGCAGCAATGAAACTGGTCAATTGAGCTTGAGTGGAGAGTTGTCCGAGCTGTGATGAAGCTCGCAACAGATATCTCAAGTGCCCTTGCCTGTTCAAGGGACTTTGTTCGTGAGGATGGAGGAAAGGAAAAGAATATTAAGAGGAAGAAAACAAGAAGGTGGAGAGAATTTCTGACGAGGAGGTCAAGTAGTAGAAGAAAGGCGGCAAAGCAAGCCAGGCCTAGGTCTTTCCGGATGGGGGTGGCAGTAAAAAATCCTCGCACCTTCTTTCCGGATCACACTCACTTTTGCCCTCTTTCACCTCGCTCTGGGCTCTTTCCGCGGCAGCTTTTGGGGGGTGGCCACGGTGCGTGCTCGGCTCAAATTGGGCGCAGGCCGTCTGGTTGCCGCGCTGCTGTGTGGACTGTGGAGAAGGTACTGAGGAACAGGGTCGGCCAAGGTGGGCCTCCTCGGCTATGACGAAGGCGACGACGGGCCAACGGACGAATCAGCGAGATTGGATTATTTTTCACTCAGCAGCAAAGAGCAGCAGTGGACTGGAGTGGGGCTGCTTTTCTTCACTTTCACGGGAACAACGACGACCTCAGGAAAGTACCTTCCGAAAGTACCCCCCATTCTGTCCCATTTCCCCTGCTCCGTATCGCGGTGTTCCCTGCTGCATTGCGGAGACCTTGCACCGCAACTGCTCTTTGCTCAGAGGTAAACACCCCTGTCCAAAGCCACATGTACCTTTTCTCGAGTTCTTTTTCTCCCCTCTGCTATCCCCCCTCGCTCACGACCTTTGCATTTGTATCGCTGTTTCGACCGGCCCCTCTCTATCGCGCACAAATTTCATATGAATCTCCATCGCATCACGATACTGCTGCTACGTAGGTACTTGAACAATGTTCATCCGCTGACTGATTTGCCTCGACAGGGAACTGATTTTTGGTTTGGTGAACATGATCGAGACGGAGGCAAAGGCCAAATACAGGCATCTGCAAAGAGACCAATGACGCGAGACATGACAAGAACAATACCAAGTACCGCGGTCGGATACGGCGTCCGGCAAGGGCGAATGGCGAATAGCAAGTCGCCCAGCGCAAGGAGTCGAGGTGCAAAAACGTCACTGATAAACATTCCTACGACATCTGTTTGCACTACATGCCGTCACCCGGAGCTCGTTGGTACAACTCGTTACCCCAATTCTTGGCCTTTGGAATGTGGTCACAGTCCCGTTCATCCGTCTTGACTTTGGTCTATTGCTGTGAGAACGGGAGCATCATGCACAATTCAATTGACAGCATGTGTCCACCTCTACCTTGGTCCGACCGCCATCCACCACACACGAAGACGGCCGATCGAGAGGCAGGAGAGAACAGACTGGACTTTGTCCGTCTCATGTCAGGTTCCGCCCGGAGACGAGGCTAATCCCCATGAAGACGGGTGTGCTCCCTCCAGACCCCGGGGCTACCGCTGCTGCAGCACTGAGCCACACGGCCACTGGCTGCGAGTCTGCGACACTCACGTTGCCTCCACATGTGAAGATTTGTACCTGGAGTCAGGTTCCCTACCACGCATACTTGAGGTACCGACGGATACTCGATACTTGCTGCCTTACCCGACAACGCCGGCCACCACCCGCCTGTCCGGCCTTTTCTTCTTCCTGTGCCACGGTATGGATATCCGGACTTCGAGCGACCACGACAAGGCTCTCCGTCTCTTCCCCACGCGGCTGGACGACGTCCACCGCACACGACCAGGACGAGCCCAAGGGAAGCCAGGACAGCTCCATGCGGAGAAATCAAAGATTTTGAGGGCGTACGGGGTACTGTATTTTGCCGTCGCAAGGGCCTCGTCTCAGACTTTTGCAATGCAGTCTGCATCTCGTCCAGGGCTGCAGAAGCCAGAGTCATGTCCCAAAAACTCTTGCCGCTGGAAGATACCTGATACTGTTGTACACGGCTGTCATTGGGTGATTGGACATTGCTACCTTACTGTTGATCTGGAGGTCCCGTCCAGCCGGCTAGGTTCCTGTCAGTTCAGCGGCGGGCAGCAGCGCGCAGGACGGCTACAGATTGAAGGTACTTCCTTACTAAGGCCTAGGTACTTCTGTCTGTCCAACTAAAGACGACAACATCAGGTTCAGCCTCGCATCTTTGAGACTGTTTCACCGACCCCGCGACACGAGTTCGATCCAAAAGAACTATGCTACCGGCATGGGAGAAGGAAAGTCCCGCACAGGAGGAGGAAAACGGTTCATTGCGATTCCAATCCGGGCATCACGAGTCCAGACTCCACGGGACAGCTGTAACCTGTGGCATGCGGCAACTCCTGTTCAGGTGTCCTCATGTCGCCATTATCATGTACCTGTCTCCCTCGCACTAACGAGTGGTACCTCGGGTGTTTGGGGTCTGCGCTGATTGCGGCATCCAATCATCAGGGGCAATTACAATATCACCAAAATTTTCTGGTCTGGAGACATTGTTTTGGCGCAATTTTTATTTCACTCAAGCCTGCAAAACCGGGGGCCGGCGGCCGGGGGTGTCTCCTCCTTTGGTGGGGGGCCCTTCTCCCGGTGGAGAATCTGGGAGGCTGGGACCGTGGGACCGTGGGACGAGCCTCCATTGCTTTCCCCTTCTGTGGATATACGGATTCAAGCCCCCTGTTCATTCTGGTGCTTCCGTCCGCCGTAGTGGAGCTCAAACTGCCTCGGAAAGCCTTCGGTCGCAAGCTGACCAGCTCGCAGTTCCGGATTCGCCCTCGGTCGTCGCAGGAGATATGATAGGCGATACCCCCCAAGACCCGAGTGCACGCCCGAGCTTGTCGCTTAACATCCTCACGATGCTGATTGCTCTGCGATACTACAAAAAGCGGCCCCCCGCCCTTTTCATCAATCGCGGCTTCCTAAGGTTCCCAGAGAGGTTACGGCCATCTTCCGCAAGGACCGGCGCAGCGGCGCTTTGCTACCCTTTACGGCTTTGCCTCGGCCATCCCGTGAAATCAGCCCTTATTACACTGTTCGTGGTTGGCCAGGAGGACGTCGCTAGATGATGCTATCGTGGTGTTTTCTTGCCATGACGACAATCACTAACGACAGGAGACCGACCCGTCCGAGAATTTCTACGACTTTTCTCACCGAGCAAGCGCTCTATCAAATTTCTCGGTCTGGGGCGCTTTATCGAGGCTTCCGATCGCCATGTCTATCCTGGTTTCTATAAACACCGTGCATCAGCCTTGCGTACTGCTTCATTCACTGTCTACCACGCAGGACTGCTGGTCACGTTATCTGCGCATTCCGAACATCCAGCAGCCATGCGGTGCCAGCTGTCGAGATCTGCTCAGGTCACGTGGGTATGGCACGACAGTACGTACTCACAGAACTGGTCTTCGGGAATCCAATCCAATCACGCTCGACCTCAAATTCGTCCTGCCGCTAGGTTGACAGGACCCCTTAAAAAGGATCGAATTCGACAATCAGTCAACTGACCATCTGAGGGGAACACACCGCATGAGAGTGACTATGCAGGTCCCTACAACACGAGTGCATGTGATGTGATGCGGTGAGCCTTCATTTGCATTTCAAACATTCTGTTCCGTCAGCATCTCTCTATGTTAAACTGAGCGCAAGGGATCAACCAGCAAACATGAGAGCGAGAGTTTGACGGCTCTCTTAGATATGACGTCAGCGCAAAGGTGTCAGCAGGGGACCAGACACGGCCCGAATCTACAATGATATCTGACTGAAGGTCGCAACGACCTGCCTGGAGATGCATCATGAAGGATTTACCTTGGCACTTCCAGGAGGACGAGATGTAGAACACTTTGAGAAACCATGGGTATGTGGTATATCGGGGTATCACGCGGCCCCACGATGGGGAGCGGGCAGATCAAGCGACGGGTTGGAGTAAGTGCCGGATTGACTCGCGCCAACCAGCCCACCCCAGGATGAGGCATTATGGACTTTTGTGCATATTGACGGTCACACTCTCAGTCTGACGACCTCTACCACGCTCCAAGGGGGAGGATCCGAGGATGGAATAGGTAGCAGGTGGTCCACGGGGGACAGTCAGAGGCCCTAGGACGCCTCAACACTCGGCACTGGCTCGTGTACGGCGCTACCAGGCGGCAACCTCGCTGATGCAGTGATGGAATATCGCGGGATGGGGTGGTTGTCTCAGCCCATGATGTTTCGATGGGCAGTGGGTGTCGTGGAAAAAAACACACGTGTTGGAGTGCTGCAGCTCGATTGGCTGCGGATTGGAGGTTGAAGCTTTCAGCCTTGTGGACTGGCCATCGTGCTCCGTGGATTAGTGCTGGAGATCTGGATGGAGAATGGAGATGGGGGGTGGACTCGGGATGATAATCATCCAGTGAGGGTTTCACCTCTGGTCGGCCATGGACCTTGATGGTCTTGTTTGCGGTGTTTCCAGCGGCTTGCGTGCATGTAAGTAAGGTAAGTTGTAACGCACACGAAAGGGAAGGCGGGGAATCATGTTCCTTGCTGCATCGTCGTGTGAGGCAGTCGTGGCAGTGAAAGGCATGAGATGCCAACACCAGGACACGTTGTGGTCGTCGGAAGGAGCGGACAAGTACATTAAAAGTCATGCTCCTCCCGGGCTCAGACAGAAAAGGAGCACCTGTTGGTTATTGATGCTGCCTCCTTCTCACCAGTGCCACCATCACCGGCTTTCCTTCCCCCCTGCCCAGCCGTCAGTCAGCAGGGACATGCAACCATTGGACGCCACCGGACATCATCACTTTCCCACTTGCAAAAACCGACCATCAACTCTAACGCAAGCACGGCAAGCCAGGCGGTCGGCGTGCGGGAGGATCACCCCTCAAGTTCAACCGGTGTTATTTATTCAGGGTCACCTACCAGCCGCGATTCCCTACGTCCAGTCGGGTGCCTACTCGCCTACGAAGCAAGGTTGACCAGCTGGGTTGTTCCCAAGAGCTGTAACTGTGACGTGGACCCTTGCGCCCTCCCTCTCTTCTCTCAG